ATGTAATGCTTATAAAATCATTTTATTAGATTACTTTTGCTATTATTAAATACATTTGTTGCGACTTTTTCGTAATGTACTAGTTATACAAGTAAGTTTGACTTTACTATTACCTGTATCACCCATTTAGAATATGTATTACTATGTACTTACTATATGAGTAGTATGTTAGTCTGTAAGACTGTCCAACACAAGTAATGTTAGAGAGAATACTATAAAGCTAGTAGAACTAGCAGATACTGTTAACATAAGTGAGTACAATTTTGCTAGTAGCTCAGCTATTTAATTTATCTGACATGTAGATTATTGTATACATATTCTATACCTAGTATGTTGCTCCTTACAAGTGACTGACAATTGAATAAGGACAGGTCAAGGTGTACTAGAGTACTCTATAGAAACTGAGACAATGGAAAGAAAAAAGAAGTAATGTATGTTTTTAGTCAGAGCATTAATAGTGTAAAGCTGAATAGTTAAAGCCAGGCAACCTGGAATATTCATGAATTTACCTGTTAATACATTCTACAAAGTATGTACTGTAATGTGTTTACATAAGTGTATGTTTTATACTTACTAGACTACTTGCTCTCACAGATTACAAATTACTTGAATCCATCTGACTTGCTGAATCTCTCTCATACTTTGAAAGATCTACAGTGTTCTGATTTTCAAGCAAAATGCAAAAATATAGTGTGTAGCTTACAAAGCTTTGAAAATGCCTGATTGTCCTCTGGATCTTTCTAAAATACAGTATACAGACCTAGTCTTTAGCTACACCCCTTAATCTCAAACTACCACTATTAATAGTAAAATGAGGGAGGATCCTACCTAGAGTGTCCTGTCAAGTGTTAGTCAACACTTTCACCACTCATCCTCTACAGTACTGAGCCACCTTTTGACTCTGTTACTACCCTTTATAGTAAGCTCTACTTATTGGCTTTCTGACAACAGACACTCAGTGTTGTTGTCATTACTCATTCCTCTTTTCATACAGTACTATAAATGTTGTAAGTGCTGTGTGTAACTTTCCTCTCTTACTTACAGCCTACTTCTGAGCAAGATTGTCTTATAGTCTTTTTTCTCAACTTTTTCAACACTATTGTTTTTGTTGTATTTTTTTTATGACTAGTAAGTCTGTACTCCATCCACTTTGGCTACTACCTATAGTATACACTCTAGACACTGTAGAACCCATAGTGCCCCCTCTTCCCACACCAGCCCTAAAGCTGCTGAACTGGGCACAGCCACAGGTGCTATCCCTAAGCTCCCTTTGTAGGTACAACATTTTAAGTAACATGTAACATGTGTCCCTGCTTGTATCTACCACAGCTATTATGTTCTTGTGTATGTTGTTAGGACACAAACATTTATCAGTATATATAGTGTGGACCAGGTGTCAAGCCAAGCTTAACATTGCACCCTTTTGGTGAAGAGGTTCTATGTATGGTCCACTATATATGGTAATCCCTCACATATGTAGCATTGTGTAATAAAAGATGAACTCACCTAGTCTTCAGCAATCACTGCCATGTAAGCAGTAGGGCTTGGTCCTGTACTGTATTATATGGATACGGCATTTTTGTATACAGTGCTGTACCGTATCTGTATAAAAAATTTGACTCAAAAATACAGCACGTATTTTACAGGCCGTAACTGTATATAGTCTGTATAATACAGACTGTATACGCCTGTATACAATATACAGCTACTAAATGAAAGAAAATCTTGCTCTAAACATAATACTGAAGCTCTAATAAGTAGTATTCAATGTTCAGACACTTATACTAGCATTTACTAATATATTCAGCACTATTATTGTAAAAGTATGTGCAATCTGATATATATTCTGATATATAGGTACATCACATGACTCGACTTTATGACAAATATCACAGACTAAATTACATAACAAAATGTCAATAAGTCAAATTTTATACATTTCATGTAGATTAAGGCATAATATAAGTAGAATTCAATATTTCTATACTAAAGAGGTAATATCACAATGATGTAGCCCCTTACATTTCATGCTACACCTTGGTAAATGTAGCAACTACGCTGTATCTGTATATGGCGTATACGTTCCGTATACGGCCGTACCGTATCCGTATAGGTTTTCGGGTTCAGAAATACGGCACCGTATTATACGAGCCGTATCCGTATAAGGGTCGTATTATACGGCCCGTATCCGTATACGGTACGGTACCGAGCCCTAGTAAGCAGGCTTTCAACATGGACAATATCTTTAACTGACAGAATCCTTGACTAGTGTTGTGGTGCACCTTAAATTAAAAACGTGTACTACAAACACAGAATGAGACTCTGTACACACTGCTGGGAGACAAAGCTATTGAATTGCTCATTATTTTGTGCCTTATTTGGCACAATTTTTGTCAGGTTCCTTTGTACTTGGTGGGTGGGATGGGAATTCATTATCCCTGGGATCCATGCATTAGTGTTAGAAGATGAAGGTGAGCATGTCTTACACTAGTAGATCTGGTTTATCACACACACATTTATTTTTGGTAGGCTATCTCTCTCTTGACAAAGTACAGAACGTACGGAGCAAGTTGCAGACCCTCACTACCAGACGTGCAAAGCATGTAGACTTTATATTTGCAAAGACACGAAAAATTATAGATATAAGAAACGTGTGTCGATAATTCTTATTTCTGGTATGTGTCTATTGATCATCTGACACGTTGAAATAAAGCACGCATCAGAGCTTCGAAAGTGGGTAACAAAACAAAATTCGATAAAGCAGGAAAAGATTATCGAGAGACGAGATATTGCTAACCAGAGAGAGTCTATGTGCGTTTGCAAATTCTGTCTTTCGTGACCTTCTTGCAAACTCTTGTTGACCGTTGACAATAGGTTGTTAGAGAAATTGAGAGAAAAAGGATACGGGGATACGGATTTTCGGTTCTGTTACGATTCTCTAGACCTTCAAGCAAAATGGCGTCGGCTTATGAGATATCCAAGACCTTTCACAGACAGTCGTACGTGGTGTGAATTGCCTACATGCTGTGAGTTACTTACCGAAACGCATCTATTATTAGTATGGGACAAAATTGAGCCCCAGCTGGATGCACTTATTGCGGAACGTCGGGCCCTACGCGCGGCATATAAGGTAGGTTGCCCTTGTGTTCAGTTTTTCAAACTCTCAAGTGGTTGACCTAACCAAACACAAGGGGTGGCCGTGCACCTAGAAGAACCATTTTTACATTGTGCATGTCAGCATTTCTTCAAATTTGTCTTTTAACTTTCCGTAGGCGAATAGCTGTATTAAGAACTGTTGAGTCCCTTTTCACATGATGTCTTTACACTAGGGCCAGAATTTCGTGCCGCATATTGACTCTCGCTCAGAAAGAATGTCATTAAGCACCTGAACAGGGTGATCTTATTCCGTATGCCAGATTCGGCTACTTTCCTTGTCGTGTCCTCGAAACACTATCTCTACATCCGCACGAACACTAAGATTGATAATTCAAAGAGCCTTTCTCAATAAGTTTCCGGCCTTCACAAACAGGTACATTGGGAAGCCTGTAGAGGCTTCCGTTAGAAAATGAACAAGCAGAAGCACAAAGGACTCACCGATGCTTGTGAAGAATAAGGCGGTCCTAGAAAATAATACACATCAATTGGATTATTGTTCACTACACGTGCCGAGGTTCAAGAACAGGGATCAGATACTGACCTAAGCCAGCTTACGCCTACAGTCTTCTGATTTATGTACACATAGTTGTACAGCATCCGCGTAGCAATGCTAGGAAATGGAATTTCTTATATGTTTCTTTTGTAATGGAGAATTAATAAAGTATAACGTACAAGCCAGCTGATGCTATGTTCAGCGTCTTATTAGTAATTCCTGCCATGTTACCGGCGAGCTTTTAAAATAAAGAGCCATGGTTAGGGCATACCTATTTTCTGGTTACTTGAGAATGTGAAGGCGACTTACCACCGCTCCGATCCACAATGGCAATATCTCGTTTCCATTCTGGGTAACCAGTTTAGGAGAATCGGAAATCAAATAATCCTCATTAAGCTTACCAGATGTGCACCCTCGAGCCTCTGTACACGCTCCGCAACGTCGCGTGGGACCTTCTCGTCCTCCGTGATGCGTTTCGTGTTGGCTCTAGGCTGCAGGCTACGAAATACATAAGGCCTAAGTGTCAAATAAAACAAATAGCAAATGCAAAATCACTTACTTGTTGTACCCGATCGTTTTGTCAATCAAGGCAAACTGAATCACGCGAAGCGAGGAGGGAAAGGTTAAGTCAGTACACTTCTCTGCTTCTCTTCTCCAGGGCTCGGACTACGGAAACAGAACAAGACGTACTTTAACATTCATCGGATAGAACGCAGTATACCAGACCAAAGGAATGGAGTAAATCGACAACGGGGTGTCTAGTGTTACTGGCATAATGGCTAGTCAGGTCGACGTGTGAGTTCAGGTGAGGATTGAAGCGAGTGGGAGTTAGTCTTCAAGTGAGAGTGAAAAGGCTACAAATAGAAATGACGTCGTGTCACCGTCCCACTGTCCAGCTGTTAAGCGTGGGATGGAAGAAGTTTCTGCTTCTCGGCCTATTATTGTTCCCGGTGTTATTCGTTTTTAGAACAGATATCCTCAGCATCCTTTACGAATTCATTACGTGTCCAAATTTCTGATTCTAATATGCCAAAAGTGTTTCAGATCGCAGTGTAGTGCATACCTCCAAAGGTCGAGCTTAACATTCGACTTCGAAATAGAATGATAGTCATCTTCATCTAGAGTCTGTAAAACCTATTTCATACTGAACTCCTGAAGAGCTAGAGAGTAAAAGACAATATATGAATTCTGAGGAATGTTAGGTATGGGTGATTTATCATACTCACCTCTTACTTGATTGTGCGTACAAGACCGAGACGCAATTGCTTATTATAGCCAAATATACCATTTATGGACATGCGTGAAGCGGAAAATCCAGCACGTTGGTATATCGATAATCATATTATGATTACGAGTAACATAAGGGACCTCGACACATCGGACACGTCTCTCCTCTCCTCATCCACAACCTCAAACAATTATCGTGGAACCTAACAGCAATAGAAATTTAAAAAAAAGTTAGAAACACATCAATAGCAACGACAGAAAATTAGCAATCATATAAATGATAAATATGACAAGAAGGACTCACGCATGTCGACAAGGCAACAAACAAGCGAATACGCTCTCCTTAAACTGAACCAAACATATCCCACACTTATCCACAACAACACCCAATAACGCAAGTTTGAGTTTCGTTCGGCCATCCTTTGTCACGCGTCGTCGTAAGACTTCGACTTTACCCATTGGAATATCATCAAAATCCGTATGAGGATGTGTAAGCTGTCCTGTTGCTGTTGCTGGACCCATTATTTCTTCGAGAAGTAGGAGATCCTATGGACAGATAAAAGTAGAAATGGACATGTCAGGCGAGGGATACGTCAATGTTAGAGTGGAAGAGTATACGTACGTCATAGGACCGACCGCTGAAAGTGAAATCCGGGTCGTCCAGTCGCGCGAGGAGCAAGTCTAAGTCGGTCAAACCAGTAAACATGGGTTGAAGAGGCTGCATAGGTGGGATTATGCTAGGCGGATCTTCGGCTCGGCTTGAACTTGTGCTGTCTCCGCCTGTAACTTCGGTACTTGCAAGATTAGTATCAACAGGAAGCTGTTCAACGTCTATGGACGGAGGATTCTCTGTCAACAGAACTGAGGCATGTAGACTTTCTCTGCCAACGACATCGTCTATCGTTTCCACTGTCCTTGTACTAGTGTGAGGATCTCCTTGGGACTCAGTCACAGAAGATGATGGTGAATGCCCTGCACCATCGACACTAATATTTATTTGAGACTGATTTTCGCTCCTCATATCGCCAAGAGGAAGAGCTTCGGTCTGAGATTCGGATGTAAGGTTCGTTTGAGTGTCGGAAAGTAAACTGGAAACGCTCGTCGGAGCGTTACATCCGAGAGGCACTGTCTCATTGACAGTGGCAACCAGAGTCGTTAAGCCAAGTAGTCTCTCGTTTTGATCGTGCGTATCTCGCCCGCAAACTAGATCCGTTGCTTCCAATATATTTGAAGCGACAACCGTGCTTTCGGGGCGGGAAGTCGATGAGGACGACGGAATCTCCGTTTCCACTTTCGTGTCTGATGTCCGTCGTCCGAGTGTAAAAACATCAGGCTTAACACCATCTATTTCCTTTCTTCGATGCGTAGGGACTGGAGGCGGCCTCCGACGGTGGGGTAGACATGGAGCATTGACATCTTGTTGCTGCTCAGCAACGATCGTGCCATCAGATTCTGTACCAATAGACCCCCGCTGTTGCCGCGTTTGGATTGCAACCCCACCTTGCGCACCCGAGATATCCAAAGGACCTGGCACAGGCGGTGGAGGTCGTCTAATAACCATTCTCACTGGTGGAGGCGGTGGTACAGGCCTATTCGTCAAAGACTCGAACGCAGATACTCGTTCGCGGACCGAAGTTCCGGGACGGAGTACAGGAGGTGGGGCACGGCGAGCTGGTAAAGGATCTGGAGCGGAGATAGATGGCGAAGGACCGGGAGGGATTGGTAGAGGACGAGAGCTGTGAGGAGGTTGAGGATTAAGAGAGTCTGAAGGTGAAACTGAAGATGATAATGAAGATGGTGTTATAGATACATGATTTGAGACATCCGATTGAAATGGCGATGATGGTGCAGGAGTTGTCAATGCATGAGTATTGCTGGGATCGTCGGTGCTATTTGATACAATGGGCTGTGAAGACAGATGCTGATGTGGAGGTGGTAAATCAGGAGGCTCCCGTTCTACACAAATCGAAGAAGCTCGTGGAGATACAGAAACAGAGTCCGTGATAGGGTTCGAATTTTGCTGCTGAGGCCAAAGTGGAGAGTTCAACACGTCTCGAATTCTTGAAAGCGTACTTCCTTGGGGCTGATCGCTGGGATAGCTGTCCGAAAGTTCATTGCCAACGATCGGCTCGTCAGGAACAACTTCTCTTTCCTTCCCTTTTCGTGACGGTATGCGTTGGGAGGAACTTTCCTCTGCGACAATGCCAGGAGATTGACCCTCATTTCCTACGCTATCGGAACTTGTTGATGGCACAGCGGCAGGAGAATCACGACGTTCCTGCGAACTGCGACTTGGAACAACTATTTCTTGACTCGTTTCATCCGTCGAAGGACTAGTTGAGTCCATTTCCTTCAACAAGGTGCATTCTCCGGTGATATTGAGCATCTGCGGAACGGCTGTCTGATCTGCATGACCGTTGATCTGCTCAAAAATTCGCATCAGGGGTGCCGTCGGAAGACTCTCCGCCAGTCTTCGTCGTTCCAGTTCCCTCTTCACCCTTTCCTCTAGACTATACCCAGCTTCTCGGTCATCCTCCCATATGGACTGACGGCCTCGTTCAGCTGCTTCTTCAAGTGAAGAATGAGAGGAGCTCGGGCTTGGGGGTTCGATTTCCCGGGAGGGAGGTGACGTCTCTTGGTTGGCCTGGATTGGATGGGGAGGTTGCTCCCGGGGTACATCTCGAACTGACGACGGAGTAGCAGTACGCTCTGCTGAAGGAGGTCGTTCCACCTCCGAACCCGGAGTAGAGTTCCTTGTAGATGGAGTTGCAAGCATTGCTTCTTCAAACGAAGGTGGTGGGAAGTCCGGGATGCGCAAATCTATTATTTAAAGTAAAAGACATAAGCAACCAAAAATTCAACGAACGAGACCTCATTTTAGAGACAGAGTCGAATTTAGCCAACCCACCATCTTGATAACTCCTCGACCTCGCATGAACACCATTAACACCACTACCCGGTCTGCTGCTACTCCCATCCGTTCGGGAGGAAGGACTTCGAAACGAATTCGAAGAAGCCGGTCTCGGTCTCTGCCTCGGAGTCTGTGGTCTCGGAGTCTGGGGCCTTGACCGGGACGCAGAAGTCGACGGCCCAGCAGCAACAATAGCACTCAAATCATTCAAAGAAGGACTCGAGTTCTCCACTCTCGCAACCCCCGGCCGCTGCAGTTTCTTCTTCACCTTCCCCTTCCGTATCCTCCCCGTATTCTCAGGAGGTATCAACGTCACTTGTCCTAACAATACTACTCTCAACATTTCTATGATAATATGTAACATACGATCACATACCATGATGTCTTACAACATGCGTCAAATACGGAGCGACCTGAACCGCCTCAGCAACACGCGACATCGACGTCGACGTCGGTGTAGTCGCACCCGCACTCGCAGTCATCGCTCTAAGACTGGGTGAACCAGACCTTGAAGTAGAACTAGTATAACGAGGTGAGTGAGATGAACTGCTTGCCATTCCGACAACATCGCCATAAACTTGTCATAAGATGAGAGCAAGTTAAAGAGCAAGAGCAACAACGTTACGGCACTGAACACTGAGCGGAGTTGTAACAATGTAAGGACGTCATGGTTCATTTAACTTAAACGGTGAATATATTTGGTAGGAAGATCGACGACTCATTACATTATGTAATAGGCGGTTCCCAAAAGTCTTCGGCCCCCCTGTATATGGAAAGTGATCAGCACAATTGTCTGACCCAACTAATTGCACAATTTTTACTTAGTTTTACTTGATAATATACACTTTAAAATTAACAATACTTTGACATTATCCATATCATCCAAAGACTTTTGCAACAAAATAAAGGGAAAAAACAAAGGGGGGAAACTATGTATTTCTGACGCGTCTCTGTTTGCTTCAAAAGAGACATGTCGATCCTTACTGTACACCTTACACCAGAGACAACAACCTAGCATTTATACACACTCTCTTACAACATGTAAGCAGATTTTTTACTACTTTGCAGTAGATAATGATTCATATTTATTTTTACAGTATATAGTTGGCCAGGATATCTTTATATTTCAACTTAAAAAAACTAGATTACTGAAAAGCGTCGATCACTTTCCAAAAACAGGGGGGCCGAAGACTTTTGGGAACCACCTGTATAATCGAGATTGAGGAAAAACACAAGGCACAGCCAAGCATTGAATCTATTATCATTTTGCAAGTCAGGGATACAGACAAAAGTTCCTCCATCGCCTCTACCAAGGCAATAAATATGATCACAAAAAAAGACAATTGGGCTATAGCTAGAGAAAAGAAAAACAGAAAATTTGAAGGAAGAAAACAGTACTTATGTATGGACACACTACCGAGACACAAAACTAGGGACTATTGCTAAGTATCGTCTCTGATGCATGTCAAGGTTCATGAGCATGATGAAAGCGGAATGGTAGGGGAAAATGCGAACGAGCAGCCTAACGCTGAACGTACAGGACAGATCGATGCACGTGTATGATACATATGTATGGACTTTGCGAGGGAGACGAAAAAGAACAACGAAGAAGTGTATGAGAGAGGGAGAGACATGAAAGGTAGCTTCTAATAAGGAAAAGACGTATCAGCCCTACCGGCTCATTCGTCCCCACTAGAACCCGGCGAAGGAGGTTCAGCACATCCAACCCCACCACTAGCGTTCTTTATCGAATTCAAAACCTCTTTGCAGTACTTGAGTTTGTCCATCAGTCGCGACACCAACTTCGCCTCGGCCGGATCAGACACGGGTCGCAACGCCATCGCCATAAGCTCACTCAGACTCCATCGCGAAAGCTCGTAGTCTTTGTTGATGTGCGTTACGAGTAACCCTCGACTTGATAAGATCACTTTCGTGTGGTCGAAGAAGTTGAACTTTCGGAGTGAAGGGTTGATTAGCACTGTGCCATCTTGAACCAAAGGAAATAGACGACTTTACCTGCAAAACACCGTTGCTGAGCTTGAAAACAATGACATGCTTCATACGAAGGTATTTCTGTACAAAGTCCATGCCCTTCGCTCGTTCCACGTCTTCAAATGTGAACGGATATTCGCCGTACAATCGATCCATAATATAGCGTTCGAAGTGCTTCAAGAGATATACCTTGCTCTTCAGGCCCTCTTCGTACTGGTTGACCGTGAAGTTCTTCCGCGTGTACGCCGCGCCATTTTGCTTAGACGTTATATAATCAAGGTGACTGACAACCGCATAAGTAGACGCAGCAATGCAATATAACGTATCACTTACTCTTTGTCTGGTGACATAACGATGGATGAACTGTCGTTGAAGTGAACGCCAACAGACCCGTCGGTCAATGCGTAGCCCATCCCGTATTTATTACAGTAGTCCACCCAAGACACAATGAAGACCTTTGCATCGGGTAAATCCACGTCCGCTCCTGCAGATGATAGTATTAGCGACTGAAAGCGTTAATTTCATATCTACTTACGCGGATCCCTGAACAGCTTCCCCTTAGCCTTAGCATCGAATGCCACGCTCAATGTATGAGCAACAGCATCAAAGCCATGCATCTTCACAGGAGCCTGGACTGAGCTTCGCAAATCCTTTACAGGCTCGCGTTTCGCTCCACCGGAAGCAACTCTCCTTGACTGTGGAGGAATGTTCTCCATATCTTCTAATTCAGCCGCATGACGCATTGCATTCGTTGCAGGTTCTGAAGTCATCTGCGCTACGATTCGGGCCTTTTGTGCCTCTAATTCCTTTCGCCGAACGAACGCTTCTTCTTTCGTCTCTGGCTCGTTCTCCTCCTCGATGTCTTGGAGGTCTGCCGTGTGTGCACGGCTCGGCACGTAACCTGTTGCGCTCGAGGCTAACGACGAAGCTCGACTCTCAGTGAGTGGTCGGCCTGGAGAGCGGCCCTCTCTTTGCGCGGCTTGCAGTTTACGAATCAACGGCTGTTCACGTTCACGCCCATTGGCATTTCCTCCGGCTCCCATAACAAGCGGTTGACGTGCCGCGCCAAGTAGGGCTGAGATGGGGCTGCTTGGTTGAACTGCACGCTGGAACTCGCGTTCTTGCTGGGCCAACGCAGCTGCACTTGAATTGAGTGAGCTTGCATTTGCCGTTCCACTCAAAGACATCTTGCTCATATTAGCCGAAACACTTGGCACATTGATAGGATGTTGATCTTCATCGAGAAGTGCATGTCTACGAAGACGGTCGAGGTTCAGCTTTGAAGTCGCCCGGCTGATATGTCGGAAGTCGGGAGCTTTGTCGTGCGCAGTGCGAGGAATGTATCCGGGAACTGTCCCATTGGTAAAGAATTCATCGTCCACGATGTCATGTAAAGTCGGGCGTTGTTTGGGATCGTGCGTTAAGATCGCCTGGATAAGTTTCTGCACCTCCAATGATACGGGACGCTCCTGGGGAAAGTCGTATTCGTTATCGCGGATACGTCTACAATAAAGGATTAGTGATCTTCATAATTCGGAAAAAAGCTACCATTTACTTATATATGGTCTTGACTTCTTTAGTCTGGAAAGGAGGCTTTCCGATTACGAGCGTGTAGAGAATAACACCGATGGACCATGTGTCAACTTCGAAGCTATGACCATTTGCCGTGTCGAATAGGACCTCTGGTGCGATATAATTGGGTGTACCGCAGATTGTCTTCTTTCGTTCCCCGGGATTCTCAATTAGTGCGGCAAGTCCAAAGTCACCAACCTTGACGTTCATCTCGGCATCAAGGAATAAGTTGCCGAGTTTGAGGTCGCGATGGATGACCTGGTGCGTGTGCATGTAATGGCACGCTCCAATAAGTTGAACCATGAAAAACCGAGATTCTGGTTCCGTAAAACGGCGACGTCTGCGAAGCATGTCCATGAGGGAGCCTGCCTCGCACAGCTCGAGGGTCATGTAGACATTCTCGTTGTCTTCGAAACAATCTCCGAACTGAACGATGTTGGGATGCTTGAGCGAGCGGTGTATCTTGATTTCTGCATACAACTGGTGCAAGGTCATTTTAGAGAATGTACGGGTGAGTGAAAATGATAGTTACTTTTGTCTTAGCCTTCTTCGTTTTGAGAGAATCTTTGGTGACCACCTTAATTGCTTGACGTTGACCCTTCCGATCTTGTACTTCATAGACTCGGGCAAAGCCACCCTAAGAAAATTGTGAGACCGATGGATGTGACTCAGAATAGCAAGTTACACACTTCTCCTAAGAAACCAACCCGGGAATATGACACGGCATGAGCAGTGTCACGGATGACTTGAGGCGGGGAGGGAGGGGCAGTTTTGGTGTTCTGCCGGGGTAGAGGAGGTGAGGCAGGCTGCTTGTGAGCCTTCTGAGGTAATACCGCAGCCGCCACCTCTGCAGCAACGGGTAATTGGTTGCCAGTGTTCGCAAACGGTGTACGACGAGTGGCCAGTCCAGGCTGGAAGTCGCGAGCGTGTTGAACTTGAACGTGAGCAGACATTCTATTGAGAGACTTGTTCTTGACTTGATATGCTGGAATTGCGAAGCGAAGCGAACAGGCCTAACGCCGTCGCTGTCAGGGCAGAGATTCGGGGACGTTGAGGGGGAAGAGCAAGGAACGAAGGAGGCGGGCAGTCAGTCGCTTGGCGGAGTTCAACTTGCCTCGCGTTCGACACGTGACCGCGCTCATTATGTTCTAGCATATAAATATCCACAAAGCCGACGGCCAAAGTGCGGCCCGAGAGGCCGCATGTATTCACTACCGGGTCAACGGAATGCAGATTAGGGACTGGCGCGGATAGCTCTAACCGCGGATCCGCACCGCGGTTAAGATTCTCGCGGATATGCTAACCGCGGTTAAGATTCCCACGGCTACCGCAGATTTCGCGGTAGCCGCATTATTGTAGTAGAAAAAAATAAACCAACTACTTTCATTCATTCTGTTAATTCAACTACACAAAAAGTCAAAAAAAATGTCTCAAATCAATTCACCAACATCTCCTCACTCTCATTTCATCCAAAATTACAATATGTCTCGAGTGCCAGTTGGCATCATTTCATCACCCACACTGGCATCATTCATAGATGCTGCAGCTGCTTCTATCACGGGAGAAGCTCTGCCTGTACAGCTTTCTGCACCAAAAACCCAGAGAAGAGTGAAGACTTCTATATATGATCAGACGGATGATCAAGTTTGGGTTTTAAGTGATGAAGAGATTATTGGTGCATTATATACTTTATTTACCCAAGTATCACTGCTAATTATACTGTGTTGAAGCTGCCAGTAGAGACAAATGGAAGTCACCAGCATATGACCATTACAATGTCTCTGTGCACCAGTTTGATCAGGCAGGCTTAAAGAAACTCTCCTTCATCAAATGGCTGTTGGATCTTAGAATGATACCCCACTTTTTTCTAATATTAATGATGCTTTTTCAATTCTTGAAGCTAAAACATCTCAAACTACTGGTTCTTAAGTATATTTTCAATTACTTGCATTAATTTTTCAATTATTTATATTTTTTCTTTGTATATTTTAATGTTGTTATACCCATACTAATTAGTGGAGTTAATAGTACATATTGATTGACATGTAACTACAAAAAGTGTGATAAGAAAATTAAAAGAGCAAAACTTACACCAGGTATCGAGCGAAGGTTTGCTTAACCGCGGCTACTGCGGTAGCCGTGGGAATTTTAGCCGCGGATAAGCTTATCCGCGGTTGTTGTTGCGGTCAACGGTGACGGATGCCGCGCCAGTCCCTAATGCAGATAGAGATCATGAGATTGAAGGACGGGATCATAAGACAGCACAGAATCGAAGATAACAATTCAGTAGGAAGAAGTACAATGTTAAGTTACAAACTGCTCACAAAGAGCAAAGAGTTCCAAAAAATTGTCCAAATACAGCAGATCCAGAGTAGTCTGAATCGAGTTACATTAGTACAACGAAAGATGACTGACGTGTCGCAAATTGCACTAAAGGGCGGGTCATCTCTCCAGTCAGTCTTATTGCCTCTCAGCAAATCCGCCGGTACATATCCTATCCATGCTCTCTCGCTCTCGACTTAGTCTAAGTTGGGTCCACCCCATACGCCAAAACGACGCATGAAGCAGTGATACTCCGTATGCATACTTTGTGGGGTACACACATAAGAGTTATAACCGTGCCCACCATTGATTTGATGGACACGAGACCAGCGAGCGCTTTTTCAAGACACTCGTGGTTTGCATGCAAGGGTGCGAGAGACGAATAGTGCATGGATACGAAAACGCAGTGAAAATTCACATTGTCTTCTAAGTTCTCTAAAGCAGCACGTGCGATAGAAGGCCTTCCCTCACGGGATAAAGGCCAGTGGACGCCGTGCGGAAGTGAGAGACAGACCAACGGAAAGAACAACCCACCCAATCCCTGCTACGCATCTCAAAGCAATCAACCGTCTTCCTCGCCCATAAAGTGGGGTCTTTGGTCAATCCGGGGTAATAGACTCAGTGAGAGCCTAAGCCGCGCGGCTCTGCAGAATTGCTTGGTTTACTGGTACGCAACGCGGTACGATGGTGTTCGGACCCATCTAGAGTCGATCAACCGGGATTAGAATACTCAGACCTTGGCCCGCTCGCAAGGAGAGGCGAGCAACACATAATGCACCGTAACCCTGTGTATGACGAGCATTGCGACCTTGGATCTGCTGCGTGCGCAGGAGTGAAAGAAAGCGAAGCGGCTCTGAAAGGTTTTATATACTTATTATGTACAGTGCTTTCTAATTCTCACTCACGGAATTGATTGCAACAATTACGTAATAATACAAGTAGATTTTGCTAAAACATCTTTTCAGTACGGTACAAAAGTAACACAGTACGAAATCCCAGTACTAATGCAAAGGTACCATTTGAAAGAGCCTAACAGTAGCTTATTGCAGTCGTACCGTGAATAGCCAAGTCTAATAAGTATTGAAGTGAGCAATTCAACAAGCTGAGAATGATTCCCCTAGAAGTACGAAAAAGAACTTGAGTTTGGTTATGTCAGTCACTGAGGGTTTGAAGAACTTATCACAAGGACAGCCTACCTCACATTCTTTAAATCTCGCTCGGCGTTGCAGTATGAGCTCATCCAGCTTCGGCTCTATAATTTTCTAAGCTAATAAGAAACACGCCTCGATAAGTAAATTCACGTCATGTTTGTAATTACATCACGTACCACCGTGACGGTCTGTGAGAGGTCTCGGACACCTCACAAGTCGATCCCATTTCTCTGAAATCTCTCGAGAATCGTAACTCTCGCGAAGATCCACGCCCCAATAACCTTTTCCTCTCAACTTCGCCAGCAGTCTATCGTGAATTCGTGATCAAACAACAAGAGTTTGTCAGAAGATCGTAAGGGGCAAGCGTTTGTATTCCCACACATATTCTCTCTCTCTACCAATTTTCCCTTTCTTGTCCCACTTGTTCTGCTCTATTGCTTCTTGGTTCTGTCGCCATTTTTGAAGATCCGATGCATGCTTTATCAACGTGTCAGATATCTAGTAAACTTCTACCCGAGCCAAGTATTATCCACGCACTTTCCATTTTCCGTGCCTTTTTGTTTCAACTCAGCTATGAATTTTGTACGCTCTGAGCTCCTCGTAGTGAGGGCCTGCAGCTTGTTGCTTACACTCCGCAAGTCATCGAGTCGGTAGTAGCCTACCGAAGATTAATGTGCATGTTAAAATCCAGGTCTAGTATCGAAGGGCTTGCTCACGTCCATATGCTGGTAGCAATGAATAGATTCCAGGGATATCATATTCCCCCCTCAGCTTATAATAAGGAATGAACCTGGTAAAAATTGTGTCAAATAATGCATCAAATAAAGAATAATTAACTAGCTTCGCGTCCCGGCAGCGCCTGCAGACTCTCATCCTGTGCTCATAAAACGTGTTTCTAGCTCGAGGTGCGTCGCATAGCTGGTCGAGTACTCAGTCAGTCGAAGGATTTATTCGGGTTGACAGCATGCTCACAGAGCAGTGCTTGCAAAAGGCCAGATTCGCGTATTGTATCTCGAAGAGGTCAGGAGGGTAGTTGGGTAATTTGACGGCTTCACGAGCGGTACGCCATATATGTTCAGTCTGCTTTGAAGTCAGAACGCTGCGCAGACTCTTCGAAGTGCGTGTAAGGTTCAGTAAATCATGCGGAGTCAAGTACTTCGCGATCTAGGGGAGCGTAGAATTCCGTGAGCATAAAGCAAGCATTGATGTAGGCACATTGCAATAAGTACTCTGTAGAATATATCGACAGGCATATTCATGAATGCCTCAGGTTTCCGGACTTTGTTCTTTTGACGCTGCACTGTCAATGTCTTAGTTGAAGACCTGCGATTCTTCTTCTTGTTTTTCATCTCCTCGGTTTCTGTAGATCGTCTCGTCGAGCATTGACCCGTCCCTGGTCGATTGTCAGCCAGTCTCGCAGAGCGACGTACTACATATGCAATTTATTAGTATATATATGTTATGGCCTCTAACGAAGTTACACTCACTTGTGTTGCCAGCATCCGCTACTTTTACTGTTTTCGTAGTATGTTTACCAGCATCAGTCACGTTGGGCGCATAAGTATCGTCTGTCCTTCGTTTTTCCTATACTTGCTGTTATCTTCAATGCGTATTTCAACGCATAGAGCACCAACCATGATGGTAGCAGTACTTATGCGACATCTGAGACATTCACTTTCCAAGCTGCATATATGCAAATCAGTGCATAAAGTTGATTTCTCACACCGATCGATGCCTAATCGGGAAACCAATAGACCAACCAAGACTTAATTACAATATTATTATCAAGTGGGAATTGCTCACAAAGAGCTAAAGGTTCCAAAAATTTCCTAGACACAGCAGACCCTGAGTAGTCTGAATCGAGTTACATCAGAACAACGAGGATAGCTGATGCGTCACAAATTGCACCAAAGGGCGAGTCGTCTCCAGTTAGCCTTCATGTCTCAGCAAGTCTGCCGGTACATGCCCTATCCGCGACTCTCGTCCCTACTCAGAGCCCGGTCCATATATCCTACCCTTCAGGTGTTGACTCCCTTGAAGGGCAATTTGGTTATAAGGATACGGACCCTAAACCATGAAGTTTGAATAACAGGTGAAGCCTCAGGACTTAGGAGTCAGGAGTCAGGAGGCTCTGTTAATCAAGTATGTTCATGGCACGGACGAGTGGCACATAGATACGAAAACGCAGTGAAAATTCACTTTGTCTTCTAAGTTCTCTAAAGCAGCAAGTGCGATAGAAGGCCTTCCCTTACGGGATAAAGGCCGGTGGACGCCGAGCAGAGGTGAGAGACAGACCAACGGAAAAGAACAACCCGCCCAATCCCTGCTACGCATCCCAAAGCAATCAACCGTCTTCCTCGCCCATAAAGAGGGGTCTTTGGTCAACCCGGTGAGAGCCTGAGCCGCGGGGCTCTGCGGAATTGCTTGATTTGCTGATACGCAGCGCAGTACGATGGTGTTCGGACCCATCTGGAGTCGATCAACTGGGATTAGAATACTCAGACCTTGGCCCACTCGCAAGGATAGGTGAACGGCACATAATGAACCGGTAGCCTGTGTGTGGCGAGTATTGCGACCTTGGATCTGCTGCGTGCTGAAGAGAAAAGTAGATTACTATTGTCAGACTAGGGTAGGGGAGGAAACCCCTTAGTAAGCCACTCGAGGATATCCTCGCGGATATCCTCCAAGGTTATCCACTTAACCTCAGGGTCCTCTCTAGGATGTCCATGTGGGTAACTTGGCTAGTATATAATATATAGTTTATGTAATTTAAAGAAAGGAAATAAGAAATGAAGACAGTTACTGTACGAAAAAGCACATATAGCTATGGCTGTGGTAATTCTAAGCCATAGTGAACTTGAAGAAAGTTACAAAACCTTACTAGCTGTCTATCAACTCTTCCTGCATCTCTTCCGTATTCCAACCAATACTATGAATTTCGAACGTATGGACGACTCGGACTCTACAGACGAAGATCCGGAGGTCAATGTTAACAATGATCGCTTTTGGATGATGGAGTAGTTCTTTTTTTATAATGTTCAATGCCCTGCTTCAACAGTATGAATGTACAATCTGTGTTTTCAACAAGCACATATATCTAATAAACTATTTATTTATTTATTTGTGGCCTGCTCTGTCTTTAAATTAATCAATTAGTTTCAATGTCTACAGTGCGCGTTGAAAATTTCTATATTTGGTGCTTATGTACTATGATTACATACTCGGAGGGTAACTATTATCCACCGAGGTTATCCTCGCTTTTTCCTACTTTCTACAGCTTCCTGAGGATAACCTCCGGAGGTGAACCCTTCTGGAGGTTTCCTCCCCTACCCTATGTCAGACTACTTATATACCCGTACGTAGGTTGAAATTCCCACGAAAATGATTGAGATCAATCACATAATGACATTTATGCATAGTAGGTACACTTCCTAGGTAGGTGACGCCCTCGGCCGCCAATTCAGAAAATGAGCACTTGTGTGATCGAGTTTTGAGTTTGAGGTCCGTATAGGAGCAATTACGCTCTTTGCATACAAAATAAAATTATAAAAAGTAAACGATGTGCTTTAAAACATGAATGATATTTTTTACAGGAGTTACACTTGTTCTAGTGCTTACTAGCATATTTTCTGTATACAAGAGTAGCTCATGAAGGAGGACCTTACAGTGGCTTATTACAGCTAAACGCGCGGTGAATTTTGAATAGAAAGGCCTAATAAGTGTCGGTGTGAATAAGCTGAGAACAACACTTCTGGAAGTATTGATTAAACTTGAGATCGGTTGTGTCAGTCACTCAGGACTTGGAGAAGTTATCATAAGGGCCGCCTACCTTACATTCCCTGCGTCTCACTCGGCGCTCTGCAATAAGTGCATCCAGCTTCGGCTCTATTTTATCCCAGACTAGTTCGAAATACGCATCGATAAGTAAACTCATGGCATGTACACAATTGCACCACGTACTGTGGTCTGTGAGAGGTTTCGGATAATTCATAATCCGACGCCATCTCGTTAAAAGGTCTCGAGAATCATAGCAGATCCATAGATCCACATTCCTATATCCCTTTGCTCTCAACTTTGCCTCCAATCTATTGTCAATGGTGAAAAGTTAGTCAGAAGATTGCAAGGAACCAAAATCTGTGTTCGCACATAGATTCTCTCTGTTTACCGATTTCCCAATTCTCCCTGTGCTTTATCTGCTTTATTGATGCTTGTTCTCGTAGCCATTCTTGAAGTTTCGATACATGCTTTATCAACGTGTCAGATAACCAGTAGATTTCTCCCTGAACTAAAGATAACCCACGCACTTTCCTTATTTCCGCGATCTTTTGTTTCCTCTCAGCTATAAATTTTGCACGCTCTGAAGATCTCGCAGTGAGGGCATGTAGCTTGTCGTGTACGCTTCGTAATTCGTCGAACCGGTAGTAACCTACCGAGGATAAACGCGCACGTTAAAATCCTTGTCTAGTATTGAAGGGCATTCTCACCTCCATCTCCTGATAACAATGAACGGATTCCAGGGATATCATATTCCTTCCTCAGCTTAAAACTAGGAACAAACCTGGTAAAGTGCTGTGTCAAACAATGCACTGCTAATAAAGAGCAATTAACTAGCTTCGCGTCCCGGCAGCGCCCGCAGAGTCTCATCCTGTGCTCGTAAAATACGTTTCTAGCTCGAGGTGCGTTGCATAGCTGGTCGAGTACTCAGTCAGTCGAAGGATTTGTTCGGGTTGACAGCGTGCTCACGCAGCAGTGCTTGCCGAAGACAAGCTCCGCATACTGTATCTCGGACAGGTCCGGAGGGCAGTTGGGTAACTCGAAGGTTTCACGAGCAGTACGCCATATATTGTCGGTCTGCTTTGAAGTTAGAACACTGCGCAGACCCTTGGAAGTACGCGAAAGGCACAGTAAGTCACGCGGAGTCAAATACTTCGCAATCTAGGAGAGCATACAGTTCCGTGATCATGTAGCATGCACTGATAATGGCACATTAAAATGCGTACTTTGTAGAATATATCGACAGGCGTATTCATGAATGTCTCAGGCTGTCCACCTTCTCCCTTTTGGCTCTGCGCCGTTAATATCTTGGCCGAAGACTTGCGGTGCTTAATTTTAATTTCCTTTTCCTCGGTCTCCCTCATCGAGCCATGGCCTGTCTCTAATCGACTGTCGGCCAACCTCGCAAAGCGGCGTACTGTGCATTTAGTCGATACTAATTATATGATGATATATATGTCAAATGAGTAACACAGCTATTAATTAAATCGTGCTCACCTGCGTTAATAGCGGCCGCTATTTTCGTTTCCTTTGCAGTATGTTCGCCGATGACTGATAAACATGTCAAACAAGTTAGCAGCGCCGCTGGCGAAATCGCGGTTACCTATGTAAACAGCATCTGCTATTTCCGCTTCCTTTCCAGTACGTTCCTCCAGGCCAGTCGCAGTGGCCAGTCTCGCAGAACGACGTACTATACACATAGAAATTACATGGGAATACACCTGTCATATAAGTGACATGACTTCTGGCGGTGTCTCACTAACCTGTGGTACCAGCACCTACTATTTTTGCCTTCTTTGTAGCATATTTGGCAACGTCAGTTGCATTGGATGCATGAGCATCATCAATTCTTCGCTTCGCCTGCGCTTGCTATTAGTTTCGATATGGACTGCAAGGCATAGAGTACCGACCATGGTAGTAGAAGTTGTGAGACATCTGATACATTCGAGTCGAGGTGTGAATTGGAGCATATAATTATTCTCACGCTGTTCAATGCCAAATCGGGAGACCGACCACATGAGCATTGAGCTTTGCCAGATCTAAATGCGTCATTTTCCGAACGCTTTTCGACTCTTGTGCTTCAAGGACTTGTATATAAAATGCGATTGTGTTCTCCCTGTAGAAGGCTTATTAGCGAAGATATATGGATGCGAGTAAATTGTTGCGTACTTTCGACTCTGCTTCTGTAAATTTTGGACAGATCATTCGCTTACGGCATCGTTGTATGCAACGGGACTTGAAGAGGTAAAGATTCCAGCTCACTACCGAAGTTGACAGTTGCTCGTAGAATCACCATAGGTCACAAGATTGAAGTTCAATACAGTACACTCGGGGATGAGACAGCAGAGTCGAAAACAATGCGGTTCAGTCAATTTGATAGGGAAGAATTCCATTATTACGTGCCAAATAGCTCACGAAGAGCAAAAAAAGTCCAAAAATCCTCTAATACGGCAGACCTGGAGTATAGTCTGAATCGTTGCGTCAGAACAAGAAAAGGTTACTGACGTGTCGCGAATTGCACTAAAGAGCGGGTAGTCTCTCCAGTTACTCTCGTCGCCTCTCTGCAAATCTGCCGGTACATATCCTTTCCCAAGCTTGATCGTCTGGTCACGTAGTCTCAGTAGGTTGCTACGGCATGTCATCGTCCTGGTGATGTTTTAAGCAGAACGTCCCTGCTCGTGTGCTTTAGAACACAGTCACAGGTGACGATCCAGACTTTACAGTTGGGATAATTGGATGGACGAGTAGTGCAGGGATACGAAGACGCAGTGAAAATACACTTTGTCTTCTAAGTCTTTCTTTTAAGCAGTGTAGTGCAAAATACGACGCTCCCTTACGGGATAAATGCCAGTGGACGCTGTACAGGAGCGAAAGACAGGAGCAAGAGACAGACCCATAGAAAAGAACGAGAAGTTGAATCCAATTCCTGCTACGCATCGCAGAGCAATTGAGTGCTACCTCACGCATGAACTATGGGGTACATGGTTGGTTGAAGCGATATTTCTGTGTAAGCCTGACATGGGGCTCGGTTGGCGACTAACTGGGACTGCTTCATTTGCTAGGACGCAGAGCGGTATGATGGTGCCCATGCTTAGCTGGAGTCAATCAACCGGGATTGGCATCCTCAGACCCAGGCATGCTCGCAAGGAGAGGTGAACGATGTACAAAGCACCGTCGCCCTGTATATAACGAGCATCGCAACCTTGGACCTGCTGTGTGGTGGAAGAAAAGAAGAATACTAGAATTTTCTGTCTCTCATACGTAGCTAGCAGCAAGCGATTCCCACGCAAACTATCAGTATCACAACCAACTACATCATATTTTAGTCCATCCCCTTTGGTTCAGCTATTATAGTAATACACGCTGTATTCTGTGTTTTCTACTGGTTTAGATAATTCCTACATGGAGACCAAATGTCGATGAAGTATTGAGAATTGCCTGAGGACAGTAATCATACATATCAATGATGGTAACACACGAGGCAAAATCAAATTTTGAAAGTACTCAGAATTTTATTTAGAATGTGAGAAAGCTGCTCTGATTGGCTGCTTTTACATTCTGACTAAAATTCTGGTCAATACATAATGTGAAATTGCCTGGTGTGTAAGCCAGGTCGTTTAATCTTCTATGTCATGTACTCAGACAATTCCTAGGGTGATGCAACGCCAGATAGGCTGTTCCACTGCTTGAAAGGGCAGCACACTGGGACCGTTGGCCGCTCGCCGAGGCAATTATGCCAGCTCCAAAGATTTGAAGAATGCTTATATATTCTTGTGAAAGCAATTAGAGTATATACTACAGGTTATATGCCCACATTTAAGTCCTTCGTCTGCCTTATGCTGAGCACTTCCGATTGCAAATTGAAGAATAAATCAAAGAATGAAATGTTATCAAGAGAACAATTAATATTTATCTCGAGGGTGAAATATAACCTTAAGCCGTAAGTCAATACAGACAGAGCACAACAAGCGTCCCAAATGAGTCTACAGATGTCCTGTATACATCAGACCAGAATAACTTAGAAATCACTTGAATCATCCCATCCGATCTTCTCTTCCATCACAGGTACAGCTTGCCTTGCCGTTCGTTTGGATCGATGAGGTATTGATGCTTGTGATTCTGAGCTGCCATCCTCCTCTTGGACATCAGCTTCATCAGGCTCGTCCGAATTAGCGCTTGGTGATCGGAGTTTTGGTAGTTGCGGACGTCTCTGTCGTCGTGAAGACTGGTTCATCGTAGATTTGGCTTTGCCTCGTGTGTTCGTAGTTCTATTCGGCTCCTCCATTACTCTGTCGGCTGAAATTTGAGAGGTGGTGGCTCTCTGACTATATTATGATAAAGGATATTTATGAGATCCTCGGCGAAGGATAAGTACACCGGGAGGAACAAAGGAGCCTACGTGTTGTTCCCGTTTGCTCGGGCAGCTCCTCGATTCTGACGTTTTGGTATAGGCGAAGCCATACTCGGCGATTTGGTGGGGGTGTGTAAACGTCTAACGGGCGGTTATCGGCAAGGTAAGAAAATTGTCCTACATTTGTAATAGGGACTTACTTGGCTCCTCGTCTCTTTGGAGGCGTTGACGGAATTGGAGGGTACTCTTCCTTCATATTCTTGCTGTTATCGGCACTGTCGGGATGAAGATTAGTGTCGGCTTTTGCAAATAAGGGCAATTTGACGTACATTTCTGACTGGGAGTCTGATGCTGCTTCGTCGTCCTCGGCTTCTTGCTCACTGCTTGCCGAACTAGAGCCTTGTAATCTGATCGGAGACTTGCCTTTTGCCTTTCTTGTCTGCGAAGATCCATGCTTTTTTTGCCTATCCTCTGTATCAGGGGTACTGACAAATAGGAAGTCTGAAACTCTGGTTACCTCTGTTCTGCTTTAGTCACATTCATATTTTCATCGTTCGAGGAACCGCCATCCGACAAGACTTTTGACGCCGACGCTTTTGTTTTATTCCGACCATTCATCCTAAACAGGTTGAGCACCGCGTGATTATGATAGAAATGTAGGATACACAGCATACATACCTCACGCCCTGACCACCACCGTCAGGGTTAGGACGTCTTCTGCCATTGTCTGCCTCGATGGCAGCCTCTGTTTCAGAGACGTCTTCGCCAGGCTCTGCGTGTGCCGACTTCGACGTAGTCGTCTCTTCAGTCTTCCCCTCAAAGCGCCTCTGTTTTGGTCGAGTGACACCAAGGAACTCGAAAACTTCGTTATATGCATCGTCTGGATCGTTGAAACATGCCTGTTCATCGTACTTCACCAACGCCGTAGCGAAATGCTTTTCAAGGCGGGACTTGAACCGCTTGAAGGATTTGTCTGTTGATGAGTCTTCGAAGGGACAAATCTAAGAAGGCAGGTGAGCTGAGTTAATGCAGTGTTGACCTTGGGTGGGGAGAGAGGGATGTGGTATGTACCTCGGTGAGATTGGTTACGAGGATGTATACAGTGTATAAGAGTTGTTGATCAGCGTTGGATGGGAAGACGAGTTTCGTTAGGAGTTGGCATAATGTCTTCCGTTGATCGTCTACAGGTAACGAAAGAGTCAGGTAAGTGGAGCGACAAAACAACGACAAATATGTGCTTACCAGCTCGCTCGTTTTCGTATAGCGCTCGGACGATGTCGATGGCCAGATGTAAATGAACGGGCTGGACATCACTTTCTTCATCCGCACCAACGACCTTCGATGGATCCGTCCAGTCGACAAACAACTGACCAACTTGAAGTGGCGAGATCATCCCCTGGTCATCATCCTCCAACTCCTCGTGTGTCTGGAAGATCAGGTCGAGGGTTTTCATGAACACCTATATCGAGACACGTATTATCAGCATATTATTTCATTCGATATAGTAGGTACTTAGAGCGGGCTTACCGACTGCAACCGCATCTGGTTCGTCGTCGACGAATAACAATACACCGGTAAGAAATACGCAAGACATTGAAGAAGCTCCTGGTTATCCGCGTTCGTAGGTGATATATACGCGAATATCAGACTCATCAGGACCTTCCAATGCAAATAAAAAATAAAACAAGTCAGCCAGAAGTCAGTCAGGATCCAGGAAAGTAGGAATATATATTTGTATATTGATTGAATGTGTGAAGAAGCGAAGAAACGAAGAAATGAAGAAGAAAGAGAGAAAGAAGAATACCCTTTCGTCCGTAACGAGTCCAAAAAGCATAACCTTCGCGAGACCTAAACACATCATCGCTTGAACGGTTTTTGACTCTTCGGCTTCGAGGACTTGCATTAGGAACGTTATGACGCGTTCTCCCTATCATCAATCATCATCCATTTCGTTATTAGCATTCAATGGAAGTATGTGGTATGAGTAAAAAATTGTTGGATTGTAACGCACGATTGACTCAGGACCTGTAAACAAGTCTTTCTCGTACGTCATCATGATGTCGAAGACGACTTGAAGGACTTTTAGTCGGAGTGATTTTGGTGAAGATTTTAGTTGGCTTAGGAAGAGTTGGAAGGAGCTTAGAGCCATGTTCTGTGATAATTATGAGATGAGGCATTAATGAATGGAATAATATTATGTTAGGTTAACAAGAATGATCCAACTGACCTTTGCGATAAGACAACACAGGCCTAGACACGTAAGACCCTTCTCGCGTAAAACGAGCTCCTTCCGCTGGACGGAGGGAACGATTAGTTCTTCAAGTACGCCTCGGAGCGTTGAGTTCTCTTCGAAGCTCTAAAAACTACGTTCAGTCGAAGATCGCTTTGCCAGACCGTAGGTACGCACACCATGGATGCGTCCAAGAACAGCTATACAAAGATTCAAGCAGCGTAAATCCGTGAGGTCCGCTTCGGCTTTCTCTTCTGGTGTCATCTCGTGGACGTTCTTGCGGCTTTGACTTCGAGTTATGGAACTACCCGGACGAGATGTTGCGATTGTTGATTCTGCGTCGTTAGTTTCATCATCCAGTGCCTTAAAAGAAAAAAAAATACACCATTTAGAATTAAAATAAATAATAACTTGTTCACACGACTGTAAATAGTTAAATAGTTACCCTTACCATTGATTCGTTATAGTTGTCTTCTGTATCGGGATCACGTAACTCACTAATAACTTCAACAACTACGCGAATCAAGTCACGTTCGTTGGGTGACATGATGTGTAGTACACCAATACAAGGGTCGATTAGAGGTTCTGGGAGTTCGGGGTGGGCGAGCATGTTTCCTAGTCAAGTCACTTGCATTTAGCCGTGTGTCGCTGCTATATATATGTTGATTGTTGGTTGAATTAACTCACGAACGACACCAAACATCTTTCTCCGACCAATTTCATCTGAATAATCGAGATGTACAGCGAGGCGTAGTAATTCGCACATGACGAATTCCGCGTTGACGGCTTTCTCTTCGCGAGCCTCCTCCTCATCGTCTTCGTCTTCGTTGTTATTGTTATCGATGTCTTGTAGTAAAGAAAGGAAGTTGTTGTATGAAGACTGGAGATGGAAGGCGAGAGCGGTTACGACTGGAAGTGTCGTTTCTAGACGAGATTCATCGGATTTGGAGATGCAGTGTTCTACGAAGGTACGTGCTAGGAGAGCGGTTTCTGGTTTGAGGTTTGACCAAAACTCATCTAATTGAAACGCATTAGCATATTTAGGAACTGAGACGGTTGTACAAACACGAACCGTCAAATTCGATTTCGTTAGCGACCTCCGCCCTCGTCACAAAAACGCTCTTAAGAGCATCACGTGCAACATCTGGAGTATGTACGTCGAACAGCGAAACAAACATTGCAAGGTCGCCATCGCATGCGTCAACCCAAGTACCTAGTAGCTTCGCCGCTGCTACGCGGACCACGTCTGATCGGTCTCCGAGACCTTGAGAAGCTACTTGCTCGCGTTGAGCGATGGTGAGTTGTCGTGGATTTGCGAGACGGGGAAGGACGGCTGAGAAGACGAGTTTCCTCGTTATTGCGTCAACGTCGCGCATGCGGGTGAGGAGGGCTGGGAGGGTTGAGGGTGTGAAGGGGATGTGGAGGAGGGCGGCGCGGCGGACTTCACTGGAAGAGTGTGTAAGTCGGGCACTGAGGCACTGAGGCATTGGACAAATTGGAATATTCGTACGCAGCAGGATCATAATAGAGTGTCGTCAGTAGAGAATTGAGGATTGGCGGTTCGTCGTCTTCCAAGTCGTAAGGATCCTCGCTTGCAGCTAGTAGTGAAAGAGCGACGACGCTGTGGACGCGTACTAAGGGTTCTTTGTCGGCGAGTCGCTCGAGTAAACTTGTCCGAAGCTCTGCATACAGGTCCTGGCTTCGAGAGGCTCAGTAAGAGGAAGACGAGTATGGAAGTGCGATGCTTACTCCATTTCGCCTAAGCTTGATATGATTTCCGATACGAAATTTAGGCAACGAAAGCGAACTTCTTTGCTCTTTGCTTGAAAGCCCTTGAGGAAATATCTTAGCAGACGCGCGACGAAACGAGAGGAGGGTGTTTCCTCTTCATCAGATTCTGAAGCTAATAAGACGGTGAGACCACAAGCATTTCTCAAAGGCATATGACAACACACCTTTCTCGCTGAGAAATTTGACATAACTCGCAACGAATTTAACGATCCTATCTGCAGCCGGGGTACTCTTCTTTACGACGAGAACCCTATTTAGCATGTCAAGGAAGATTTCGGCAAACGCCCTCTCTCCCACTAGTTTGACCTCAGCATCTTTTCTGCCCCGGTTTATTGACTCGATGATCTCTGCGGAGGCAGCATGTAGCTTGTACAAAGCAACGCAGTTCTTCTTGTGTGTTGCAGCCGAAGATTGGGCTTGGTCAAAGACTGCTGGTACAGCGGTGCTCAGTGAGTTCAGGTCAAAGGATGAACGCGGTGCCATATCGTAGAATTTAGGCATCGACGCGTAGATAAATGGCGCTAGGTGCGCACTGCGCAGATCAAAGCAGGGGACAAGGTGATCGTCAATTGCACGTCAAGGGGTCAACAACGCGACGCGTATAGTGCACGTGATCGAGTCACTGGCGCACTGGCGGTCTTGAAGTTGAACGCGAAACGTGTTTCCTACCTACGCTCGCCTTTCCCTGTCTCCACCATAGCCGCCATAATGCCTCTGAAACGAACAGAAACACCTGTATTAACTGTGCTTCCGGAAAGCGTGCCGAAGATCTTTGAACAGGCACAAGTATCCACCGCCAACCATCAGAAGAACTTTGTTGCCTTGAACAAACTCCATAGCGCAGCAGCAGCAGTTACTGCTCCGTTACAAAATGGGATCGATGTACAGCTCACAGGGGAGAAAGCTTTCGAGGATCTGTTCATCGATATGGTTATACGTGTGCTACCTTTGAAGAAGGGTGCGAGTGTTGTTGATCGGATCGTCAAGTTCGTGGCTGGTTATGTCAAGTTCATCAGCGAAAAGGGTATGGATATTGGCTATAGAGGATGAATCCTTGCTGATATTTGGATGTTGGTGCTCAGAGAAACAAGCGGCTGAGAATGGTGAAGATGGAGACGAGACTCCAACTTCACGTTTCGTGACCCGGCTTGTTAAATATTTACTCAAGGGTTTTGAGGCCAAAGATAAGAACGTTCGATTCCGTGTCCTCCAAATTGTGGCAGAGATCGTCTCAGGCTTGACAGAGATAGAGTGCGTGACTCCTCGAATATCCAGACACCAGCCTAACAGATTGTTAGCGACGAAATGCTCAAACTTCTTCGTCCCGCTCTTGTGGATCGTGCCCACGACAAAGAGACAGCCGTTCGCACACAAGCGATAATTGCTCTTGCAAATCTTATCGATACAAACAAGGATGATGACAATCAGGAAGAAATTATAGAAGTTTTATTGGATTCACTTGCTCATGACCCAGCATCGTAAGTGCTTTTCTTTCTCCACTGATTGTGTACTCAAACGTACTGCAGAGAAGTTCGAAAAGCAGCTCTACAGCGACTTCCTCTCACATCAACTACCTTACCAGTTATCATCAAGCGCTCTCGCGACATCGACTCCAATATCCGAAGACTTGTTTACAGCCCCGTACTTGAGCAACTCGAGAGCCCAAAGCAGCTTACCATTTCGCAACGCGAACTTCTCGTACTGGCAGGTTTGAAGGACCGCGAACCCACTGTCTGCTCAGCAGCAGCAAAACTCGTTGGAACCTGGGCTGATCTAGTACCAGATGTTGTATCCTTCGTCCAACTTTTCGATTTCGAGCTATCGGTGGAGACAAGCGATGATAACCCAGCGCGAGAAGCGCTCATGGTGTTGTTCAGAACGCGTAAAGACATTCTCGACAACCTCGATTTCGGCGAAGCGTATTGGCAGGACCTTACCCCAGCAAAAGCGTTCTTAGCGCGCGTATTCGCCGACTGTTGCATCAAAGCTGGAGACGATGCACGAATTGAAGCGAACATGCCTGTTATGACTGCTCTTGCATTCAAAATTCAGGAGCTTTACAACGCACTAATGAATCGTGCAGAGAGTGAACAGGAGGACAAGGTCTTTGGTACGCACCATGATTCTGAGGAGGACAGTACGAGACAAGCGGAGGTGACCCGAAAGCAGTTTGTGATTGGTGAATTGATGAAATTGTCGCTGAATTTGGATTATGCGGATGAGATTGGACGAAGGAAGATGTTTGCGCTAGTTCGTAAGTTATTTTTCCTCCTTTGTCCAGAACAATACATTTAGACGTTATCTAGGGTACATGATTTCACAAGATACACTTCCCGACAGCCTCGTGCCTCTAAGCCTCGACATCCTACGAAAGTTATCTTCCGATGAACATGATCTGATCCGTATAGTGGTTGAGGTTATCCATGACTTAAGAGATACTGAGGTGGATGACGATGACCTTGTAAGCAACTTATTTATCCAATGATTTTGACTTTACTGAGAGCACTGGCAATGCAGAGTCGAGATCGAAGCATGAGCGTCGACGAGACACCCATGCCGGCACGAACGCCTGGACGTCCACGTAAGCCACCTGCGGAGATGACGCCAGAAGAACGTGAACGTGCAGATGTCATTGACTTGCGCTGCCTTGTGCTTTGTATTGGGATGTTGGAGCGCGTTAACAGCGTAAGACTCTCCATTTCTTCATTTCTTCATTTCTTCATTTCTTTATTCCATACCCATATAATGGATAGCTTATCTGATCTGATCTTTTCCGTTAGTCGTTCGAAAGAAACTCGACTCTTGAGGGTATACTCGGCGAGCTGATCTTACCAGCTGTCAAGCGAAAGGAATTACTGCTTAGAGAAAGGGGGTTTGTGTGTCTTGGGTTATGTTGTCTCATAGCTCGCGTACGTCTTATTCTTCTCTCACATGCTAAAGTTGGAACGTTAATCAGGCTGGTTATATATGGTAGGGCATGGCATTAAACTCCTTCCCGCTCTTCCTTCAACAAGTTCAACCATCCCCGGAACCGTTGAAACTTCGCATATTGCAGATTGTGTTTGATATTTTGATGGTGTATGAGGGTGATTTCCTTAGGAATACTAGTATTGGGGTATGTCATCATTTGCTCTGAACTAACTTATGTTTCATTGGCGTTGATGACTTTTTTTGGAAGGGTGATCGAGTTGTGGAGTTCCTTATGAGACTTTTTGAGAGTACGGAATCATATGCTGTACAAGCGTTGTTGTGTAAGGGGCTTGCGAAGCTAATGATGTCTGGGATGGTTACGGACGAAAAGGTGTTACAAAGCCTGATACTTGCATACTTGTCTCCGGACACAGTGGACAACCAGGACGTACGACAATGTTTGTCGTATTTCTTCCCAGCCTATTGTTATTCTTCGTCGCCGAATCAACGACGGATGCAGAAGGTATGGCTCTCACCTTTACACTGGTCAAGTAGGTTGTTACTAAAGAGAAAAAAATTAATAACGCGATTCGGTAGATTTTCTTGTCAACGTTCGCAGAACTCTCGCAGATGCATCGTGATCTTGATGAGGATGAGGAAATGGTTAGCCCGTTACAGGCTGCTTCGTTGCTTGTTGATTGGATGGACCCTCAGAAAGCTTTGTCAGTATCGGTTCCCTGCTTACTTTTCGTCTTCATAAGCTTACAGATGATCTCTTGCAGGGAAGTGGATGGTCGGCAAACAGACTGGCATGTTCATTACGACTTGGCTACAGACATTGTGAAGGTTCTCTGCAGCAAAGACTTCAAACGTACGCTTTTTAATCTTTGTAGTAAGGATGTATTTACTTATGCGAACTTGTAGGGGATGACAGGAAGGTCCTGTGCCAACTTCTCGGCAAGCTGTATCTTCCAGATGAAGTTGATGATGACAAGATCCGAACGCTCAAGCTCCTCATAAGCAACATTCGCTCTGTAAGTGTCATCAACTAAGTATCCACTCGAATTTCTTCTCATCATCCCTTCGATGTTGTGATATTAACTAATTTATCAATTAGCGTCGACCACCAAAAGATGCCACAAGTAGCAACGCCCTCTCTCGTTTCGAAAAAGCGATTTCAAGTAAATACGAAACTCAGCTTGCGAGCTTTAACGAAGAAGAGTATAAGCAGCTTGAAGAGCTGAAAGAGTTGTTTGAGTTTTTGGATGATATTATACCGGAGGAGGAGGAGGAAGAGGAGAAGCCGAAACGTGGGGCTAGGAAACGGTATGTTCTATTATCCTACTTTATCTGTCGGTGTGAATGTTTTTGTTTTTGCTGATGATGAAGCAGGCGCTCTGAGAGTATCGTTTCGACTACTACTGACGGTGCGGACGAGGATGATTACAGAGGTACTTCGGAGCCGAAACCGGCGAGTAAAGGGAGAGGGAAAGCTAAGTGGGTCAACTTGGACTTTCAAGTCGTTATTCACCCTGCTAATTACCTGACGCATGTGTAGGAAACGACGAGTCTCTAACTCTGACGCAGAGACTTCTGATGCTGGGACTCCTGTTGGACCTACGCGGACGTTGCCGAAGAGAGCTGCGTACGTCTTTTTTCCTCGCTCGGTTTTTCATCATTGCTCATTTTGTGAAAATTTTTGTTTTGATAGGAGGAAGGCGCCTCTTGTGGTTGAGCCGCTTCCAGATAGCGAAGAGGAAGAGCTCGAGTCGTCCGTGCCTCCGGGAAGTGATACAGAGACGGAAGGGGCGACACCTGCGCCGGAGCCTACGCCGAAGTCGAAATCTAGAGGGTAAACATTCTCCTAGACCCATGAAATCAAAATCAGTTGATTGACTAACGGATTGTGCGCCATGTGCTTATTAATACAGATCGTTCTTGAGAAGACGCTCACTACATGCGTCTCTTAATCTTAATGTTAACGATGATGATGACTTACCGGACGAGCCAACTGTAGAGTTTGATTCGATTATGGACACGACTGTTGAGGCGAGGGATGCGGAGGATGATGATGATGAGGTGGATAATTTGCTTGATGGGCTTTAATCTATCTTCTCTTTTTCGTAGGTTTTGATTAGGATATGCTTTTGGTTGAGCACAGAAGATTATTTGTATACACATTTGTAGATGTATCGGAGTTTGTGAGTGATTGTATAATGTGAACGATACGCGTATAGAGTCTTGTCTGAATACGTTATTTCCTCACTCAGAATAACAAGGCAACTCAAATCGAATAAAATTATCAATTATTCTCCTGATTCCACCAAACTTCTGATTGTTGCAACTTCATCCTTTATATACTATCACACTTTAAGGACTTAAAATGCTTTGCTGAAACTGTTATAACAGTGTGGTGCTAATAACTGGCTAATTGTCCCATGTAGACAAGTATAACTGTAACTATATAAGCTATCCATTCAATTGTATACTAACTAGCAATACACTCTAGACTCTGCTGCTTGATCCTTTTTTGTAACATTCACGTTTTACTCAAGTTATCAACCATGGACAGAAGATGAGATTCAATCCAATCCTCCGCGTCACTTTGGGTTTCGAACAGACGAAAAGCAATGCATTGTGCTTCTTGAGGATTTTGATCTGGGCGATGTACTATCACGCCATGTGTCAAAAAGCTGATCAAATGTGCATAGCAATAGGTGCTACATATATGAACTCACTGCATCCATAATAGTCTTTGCCGTCTAGAAGAGCATGGCGCCTGCCGGAACTCTCATCATTTACATAGGAAAATAGGGAGGCAGTCACTTTTTTTTCTGCTTGAGGCAGTTTGTTGTCTAAAGTGTGTCAATAGTTGTATAAGATAATAGAAAAATTGAGACCTACACTCTGCGACCGCATCATTGATTTGGTCTTCTTTTAAGGTAAATGGAATACGTTGCAATTGATCGAGGTAGGATTTGCTCGATTTCTTCTTGTGTTTTGCTGAGAAGCAGACCAGATAACCATTAGCTATAGGATAATCTATCTGCACATATACTATACTATGAACTTACACATTTCTCTTTCACTAAGCTCAGCCTTACTGATGGATGTTGCTTGTAGTCTGGAAGACAAGAGCAGGGATTGATTTGCAATTTGTATAAACTATCAAAGCTGCTTTTAATGGTGTGCTTGGATAATGCTTTGCAGGTTGAAGCTCTAGGTTATTCAACCAATAGAAGTGATAGAATGAGCCTTCCACATTCCTTACTGATGTCTGGGACATATATAGTAGTATAGAAGGATAAGATACCTTATAAGGTTATAATCTTTGTAGATTCACTATAGAGACCATCTGATCTGTTGTTATAGCTCCATTGTGCTATGAGTCAGGTTTGAAGCAATTCTAGCAAACTTACACTGATCTGGCTTGAATGTGTGCCTGACCCAGTTAAATTCATCATGATTAATATTGAATTACAGATAATGTCTCTATGGCTACTTGTGCCCCTAATAAACTATCCTACAAGAATATACTAGTGGAAGGAATAGAATAGATTGAATGCTAGAAGATAGAAGAGCCTTTTCTACTTCAATTACATTTGACTTTAATTATTTTTCTCACAGGATGTGCAGAATATGTTTATTGACAGATTGTCCTTGTGGAGACACTCAATACATGTATCTTTTAACAATGATTCAAGTTTGCAAGACAAGCAGTCTATGGAGTTTGATTCAATGGTGGATACAGTTGTTGAGGCAAGGGTATAGTTGCTACAGTCCAGTCCTGGTCCAGTCTAGGCAGTTTTGCTTTAGACTGTGAACTAGACCAGGACCTTTTTTTCATAGAATCCTGGACTGTGGACTAGACCACACTGGACCATTTCTGGACCAGTTTAGTGGACCAGTCCAGGTCTGAACCAGGACCAGACCTGTGAACCATTTGAAAATAATGAATGATAAAGAAATACAAAGGGAATCTTGGATGTGAGGACACAGAATGTAAGTTGTGAATAATACCAAGTATTAGAGATGTTGTACAAATAAATATATATGTATGAGTGGGGGTTAATTTTTTTCATTACATCTATTTACAAATTGTTAGAGTAATCTAGTGGATACCCTTATAATAAGTCTTTAGAATCTTAATAGACTCAAATGTCTTAGGATGAAGCCTGTTACACTGTTTTGTGTCTACTAGTCCAGCCCTAGAGAATACACACTCACATGGTACAGATGAACCCTGAATAGTAAGGTAATCTTGTGTAATACAAGCTAGAATTGGATAGTGTAAGGAGTTTTCCTAGAGAAAAGTTAGTATAATTAATATTACTGTATATTTGAATGTACTTACCTTCCACCAAGTAAGAATGTTGAAGTTGCAGGTTTTCTCAACCAGTAAATCACTTAGGTAGTGGACTAGCTCTTCCCTAACAATCTTAGACATTGAACTTTCACACTGAAGCTAGTGCTCAGCAACTGCTTACAGCCTCTTCATACTCAAACCTAGTGGTTGAGAAATAGGAGGAGTCTTGCTCTCTATTGTAGGTTTTAGGGTAAATGTATCCTATATATAATTACCATTACTAGTATGACACAAAATACACAAATATAGAATACTGAAACTAAAGGAGAAAGAGAAGCTAAAAACTGTACTAGAAAATCAGCTTACAGCTGAGGAAGAAATACTTGCCTGGGTTTTGAAAGAACATAGTTCTGCTTCATATTTGTCAAACTGAATACAATAGTAAGTACTCAAAATTCACTAAGTCAATTATGAAAACTTACCACTTTATACATAACTTCCTGTACCTCTTCATCAAGCATATCAACACTAGTGAAAGGGTCCTCTTCCTTAAAATATTTGTCCTTAAAGCAGGGATCAATATTTATTAATAATCAATAAATATTATTTTACTTATAATAAGAGAATGAACTTACAGATACAGACTACCTGAGCTAAAGACTGTAAAGCTTTGTTGTAGTACTTGTCAATGGTCTTCAGGGTTAGGTCAATACTAACAACAAAAGACTCAAAGCCAGGCTGTTCTCTAATATCTTTCAGGCTGTCACAAATGTCTTGGAAGGCTGGAAGAATGTGGAACACTGTAGGGGCTGACTCAGACAAAAAGATCTGCTGGATAGATTCACAAATCTATTAAAGAAGTATTAGTTATCTTATTCAACATACTTTTGTATGAATGAAAAAGAAAAGGAAGGAAAAGGAAGGAAAAGGAAGGAAAAGGAAGGAAAAAAAACAAAGGGACTGTATAATGTATTGAACATGCTGCCATAAGGATCTGTAGGTGTATTCTGTGTGAGTAACACTTTCACGACTTGCTAGGAGTATGATGAAGACAGTACACCAATCTGTTGTTGTCACTGCTTTGTTGTAAGGCTGCCATACATTCTCTAGTAGGAGTGTCATTCATTGGGAAAAAGTCTAAATTCTTGTACTACCTTATAATGGTATAAAATAAGTGAAAAAAGTAAAAAAAGTAAAAACACTTAGAACAGATCTCGGTTTCTGAGAAAGTACTACAATTCATTATAAAGTCTGAAAGGTTTGTCCATTTTATAAATGTAAATAAGGACTTTTCTCCTTGGCAATATATAAAATACATTACAATGGATCTCTAAAATTACAAGGTTAAATCACCCTTGTTGATTATGGCAAATATTATAATTGTTTATAAAGCTCTTAAATTGTTTTAATATCGTTCCAATAGTTATTTTTCCTTATATCTGTTTGTTGTTGAAATAACAGTTTATAATTATATTGAAACATTATATAAATACATTATAATCTACAACAATTAGGGGTGAGACAGGTTGTGAGATTGATTGGCTAAAGTGTGGGCGTGAGTGTTGTCAGCGTGAGTAGGTAACTGGATTGAGGAGATGGATGCACCACGATAGTGTGTAGCGAGTGTGAGTGGTGCACTGGGGTTGAGATCCGGAGCGTTGAACGAGCTGATTCGGACTGCAGACGAAATCGTGTCTGTGTGCGTGCGCTCTATTGTCCATAAACGGTGTCCAATAGGAGGTACTGTGAACTGAGTCGTGGATTGTAAGAGCGTATCTCTGGGACGTTCTGGAACGAAGGGAGATGGCAAAGTGGAAGGCGTTGACGGACTCAACTTGGACAGGTGTGAGCAGTGGCCCCTGCTTCCGTTATTCGAAATGGTGTCATGGACAGCACTGGGGATTGTAAATGCATGCAGTGTGAGTCCATCGAGGGTGTTGTCAAGCATGGAATGGTGGGTGGGGAAGGAGAGTGCGCGCGGGGGTCAGAGAGAGGATTGTCCCTTGGGAGTGGTCGTACATGGACATTGTCGCGAGCGTGTGCTCGTCGATTGCTGCTTGCACTGCAGAGCGGGAAGAATGCATGGAATTATTGAAGAAGTCATTCAGCGTTGGTCAACAATGCGGATGCGTGAATGCGAATGCAAAAAGGAAGGCGAGCGTAAAACAAGAAGGACAACGGAGGAGAGGCAACGCAAACGGCGGAGCAAGGAGTAGGAGGGATGGGAGGGATGAAAGACAAAAAGTTGGGAGGAGATGGATGAGCAACTATTGTGCAGGTTATTATGAAGTGGACCGGCTGCTTACGCTTTATGTTGAAGGACGGTGTAGTCAGCTCGGTGGCATCATCGCGCGATCTGAGGCTCGGCGCGGGCATCACAACAGCAGATTGGAGAGACGAGTGCAGTGATGTTTATTGCCTATGTTGTAGCAAGTGCAGAGTGCCTGCTGGTAGGACGCTTGCGAGCGGAGGACTTAATTAGAGAGAACAGAAGCAACTACATAGCGTTGGGTGCAGAGGGTTGGGGAGATAGTGAAGGTAGGAGGTAAAGGAGTGACGAAGAGAAATGCGTCATTATATGCTCTCGATCTTCAGCAGTTGATTACATAAGCAACTATAATATGAGTCGTCAACTGATAGAACATTTCAATTATTGTATTTAGGTATAAAATAAAATAATTAATCTACTTTGTAATATAGTAAAAAGTAATATGACATGTATATAGCTTTCTAAACACATTGATGTAATTATTACAAGTTGATGAAATAACTTTTACAAATATTGTAAGCTATTTGTATAGATAGTCTAAGTATAACACACATATTATAT